TGACCCACTCCATTTCAGTTCCTGTTCCTCCCTTACCGAATGAACATATTTCTAAGTAAACAAAATAAGTGGCAAACCTTAAGTGCAGTGTCATGATTTGTTTAAAAAAAATAGCAAATGTGATAAAATGTACAGAAAAGTATTGATAATGATCAAAGTTAGGCTGTTCTTGGTAATTTGAGAGTAGCTGAAATTTTATACGTTTTTTTTTTTTTTGTTGTTAATTCTCTGAGACAATAATCTTCTGAACGTTCACAACTTTAGAATTTATGAATGCATGATAACTTTTGAGAATTTTTTTTTTCCCCAGCTGGAAATACAAGACAAACGTGAAAGGTTAAACATCATGTATTCGTCCTTTGGGCTGCTAAGGTGGGGTAACTTGTAAGCAATGGAAATTATTGCTCACAGTTCTTCAGACTGGGAAATCCATGATCAAGGCACCAACAGAGCAGTTCTGGTGAGGGTGCTGTCTGCTTCAAAGATGGCCTCTTCCTGCTGTGTCCTTATGTAGCAGGAAGACTAAATACACTTCTTTCAGCCTCTTCTGTAAGAGCACTAATTCCATTCCTGAGAGTGGAGCCTTCAGGGCTCACTCACTCCTGCAAAGTTCCACCTATATTCTCACTCTGGGGATTAAATTTCGAAACAGGGCCAGGCATGTTGGCGCAGGCCTGCAATTCCCAGGTACTTGGGAGGCTGAGGCAAGAGGATTGCAAGTTCAAGGCCAGCCCCAGCAACTTGGCCAGACCTGTCTCAAAATAGAAAGAACTGAGGATGTGGTAAAGTGCCCCTGAGTTCAATCCCCAGTATCACACACACAAAAATATTCCAAGACAAGAATTTTGGGACTCAGCACTAAAAAATGACAAAATCATGGAATTTGCAGGGAAATGGATGGCACTAGAGCAGATTATGCTAAGTGAAGCTAGCCAATCCCTAAAAAACAAATGCCAAATGTCTTCTTTGATATAATGAGAGCAACTAAGAACAGAGCAGGGAGGAAGAGCAGGAGGAAAAGATTAACATTAAACAGAGACATGAGGTGGGAGGGAAAGGTAGAGAAAAGGGAAATTGCTTGGAAATGGAAGGAGACCCTCATTGTTATACAAAATTACGTATAAGAGGTTGTGAGGGGAATGGGGAAAAAAAAAACAAGGAGAGAAATGAATTACAGTAGATGGGGTAGAGAGAGAAGATGGGAGGGGAGGGGAGGGGGGATAGTAGAGGATGGGAAAGGTAGTAGAATACAACAGTTACTAATATGGCATTATGTAAAAATGTGGATGTGTAACCGATGTGATTCTGCAATCTGTATTTGGGATAAAAATGTGAGTTCATAACCCACTTGAATCTAATGTATGAAATATGATATGTCAAGAGCTTTATAATGTTTTGAACAACCAATAAAAAAAAAAAAAGAATTTTGGGAGAGGGGAGACACAAACATTTCGACTGTAGCACATCATATACATAAGTAGTAAGAGAAAAATCCCTCAGAATTTTTATCTGAGATAACCATTGCCAACTTTCTGTGCATAATGTTCCATTTTTTTTGTGTGTATGATTTAAAAATATTGATTATGGAAATTTACAAACAGAATAGTATGAATCCCTGTGTACCAGTCAACTGGCTCCCGGGTTTGATGGCCCATTTTGTGCGTGTTCTAACATTACTTGTTTAATTTTACATGACATAGATCACAGTGTACAATGTTTTTCTGCTCTCTTTGCTCCTTTAGTGATAATATTTACTCAACAAATATCTCCTGACACTTAGCTATGTTAGGGACTGGGTTGCAGCGGTGTTCGAAACAGACAAACATTTCCTGTGGGAATATGCATTCTAACATATGTATAATGATGGACACCTGTCATTCTTTTCAACATGAGCTTAATTAATATTCTTTTGTGTGGGTGGGTTTTTAGATTTGTTCCGTTGTCCTCTCGATGGACCTTTAGTGTTTATCTGATATTTTTGTGACAACTGTTCCCATCATGAGCGTCTTCATATGGATCTTTTCTGAGGACATGTGTGAGGCTTCTGTGAATGATGGATTCCTAGAAGTTGACATGTTTGATTACTGAGTTTCAAAAAAAGAAGCAATACATGTAGCACTCACTTTTGGGTTTTGCTCCTTGGTCTGAGTGTTTACCTGACAAAGCCATACCTTGTCTGCATTGTCATTATAGAGCTTTTTGGGTCTTTTTCTTCACCTCAGTATTCAGTACTGGGCCCACAAATACTTAAAAAGTGTATAGGGCTGAAGGGTTGATGTGGTTCTGGGGTCTATAGAAGCAGCTGATATCGTGAGACAAATCGTGAAGTTTTTTATTTTTTATAGTCAAAGACTTGATCTTAGCATCCTGCCTCTTCTCCTTAATAATCCAAAAGACATTGGATAAAAACATGGTGATTGGGAATGGTTTCTTTAAATTCTCAGAGTATCGGGGCAATTTTGCCTACAAAGCAGTTTGTCTGTTTGTATGATTGAGATGCCTGGCAGTCTCCAGTGGCAGACCCAGAGTTATTAAGTTGGGCAATGCCATAAGGCACTTTGGGGCCCAAGGCCTGATAGGAAATTAAGAGGGATTGGCCTTGAGTCCAAACAGTGATGAAATCGGGTTCAACCCAGAAAGGTGCAAGTCAGCGTATTTGATGAATTGTAATTCAAAGCTCAAATACATGACATGAAAGAAACTTGGAAAGGGACTGGGAAGGAAGACAGGGCTTGGCTGGCACAGTGTTGTCAGGACCGAAGGAAAATGCCATGCAGCTCTCAACTTTGCCTCCATATTGTATTCTTCATGGAGTATTTTAGATTTATTTTTTATAGTGGTCACAATGAACTCATGTGGATCCACCAGAGGGGATCCCCAAGAGATCAAGGATGACCAGATGAAGTGAGTGTGGTCTTTGGGTAGGAAACCCTCAATATGGTGGAGTTCACCATTTGTACTTTAGAGAATTCAACTCCACCCTTAAAACAAAGGAATGGATAATAATAATTACAGCTGCTTTGGCTAATTCATCAAAATGCCACTCAATGACTGTGGTATGAAATGGCCTGTCTCTTTGTTGTTCCTCTCATCGTGAGAATGACTAATGGAGTTGAATGTGACTCCAGAATATGGTGTCCATGGAGAATTGGTCCCAGGATCACCTGCAGATATTAAACTCCTTAGATGCTCAAGTCCCTTATATGAAGTGACATAGTAACTTGTGCACAAGTCAAGTGTTCAAGCCTCTTATATGAAGTGATGACTTGTACACGTCCTCTTGTATTCTTTAAATTATCTCTGGATTTCCCATGATACCCAGTGCAGTGTCTACACATCACTTCATTTGCAGGGTTCAGTGTAGTACTTGGTGCATGGCAAGTTCAAATTTTGTTTTTGAAACTTTCTGGAATTTTTGATTTCTCCAAATATCTTCCACCTCAGGTTGGTGGAATCTTCAGATGCAGGTTATCTAGATGTGGAGAGCTGACTGTTCCTAACTTTGTCTAGTGCCTGACCACTGGAATGGCCATCCCTTCCAGTTTCTTGAGGATTCTAGTATCTGTGGGGAATTTCAAGTTGGCCTCTTGGTTTTCCACATGACACTTTCCTGTGGGATTCTCCAGGATATATATATTTTTGAGTTGGGGATTGAACCCAGAGTTTCCTGCTGAACTACACTCCCAGCCCAGGATAGTTTTGATTATGGGTATCTCTTGCCTTTTTTTGGTGTATAACCCCTGTATGTGACACAGTTCTTTCATAATGTGCAGGATTCTATTTTTAGCTCAGTCATTGCAGCTCTTCTCCATTCTTACAAGTCAGTAAAGTCATTGCAGGTACAGCCATGTCTCAGCTTAGTGTAGTTAGAGTTAATAAATGCATATGAATTTCCAAACCCACCATCCATTTAGTCCACACTGCATACCTTGCTGATCTCTGACTGTGGGACTGGACTTATAAAAGGAATAAGACTGTTAAGCAAAAGATAGTTGCAAGCCCATCCAGATGTGTGACAATGTTACCCTGCAGAGTAAATGTCAGACCTCTGTTTGGTCCTTTGGGCTAAGCTCTGTCCCCTCTTTTAAGCTCTGCCACATGTTAAAATGTCTTAGTCAGTTTTCCATCACTATGAACCTAAGAAAATCAACTTAAAGGAGGAAAGATTTATTTTGGCTCATGATTGCAGAGGTTTCAGTCCATGGTCACTTGACCTTATTTTTCTGGGCCTGTGATGAGGCAGAACGTCATGACAGGGAGCAAAACTACTCAGCTCTGGCAGCCAGCAAGCAGAGAGAAGTAGGGAGGGAGGGAAAGAGAAAGAGGCTTTTATAACCAAGCCCCTACCCTAAAAACCCATTAAGCTAAGAATCCATAATGATTGAATCCATGGATGAGGTCAGGGCCCTCAGGATCCCCAAGGCCTCCCACTTGTAAACACTGCTACACTGGTCTTCAACATATGAGGTTTGGGGGGGGAATGTTTCAGACCCAAACCATAACATAAGGCAAGGAAGGATTCCTAGAACTGACACAGTGCAAGAGAGATAAACTTGGGTTAATGGGTTAATATTGAGCAGAGCACATGGAGTTAGAATGGAATGATCTGGAAGCTAACACCAAAGGTGATTGAAATGAGAATCATATTGCTTGTTTGACATTATAAGCCAGTCTACTGATGAGCACACTGGGCCAAACACTGCCCTGCATCCCTTGGAGAAAGAAGAAAGCATGGTTTGTAACCTTCCTCCCTATTTTCTGAGTCTACAGGATTCAAATTATGGCTACCATGGAAACCGTTCTTTGGAATTTCTGGAGCCCTTAATTTTAACTTAACATATAAAAACACTTTTGTGCTGATTTTATAATTATTCATGATGGATGAGAAAGTGACTAAATGTCTTTTGACAGGGAAGACATAACTCTTTTTCCTTTGTTTCATAAAGATGCATATATTCCAAGTGCTTTATTTACCTGGGTGTGACTCCCTTCTTCTTCAGATTCTGACACCATAGCTGAGTTACAGGAGCTCCAGCCTTCGGCAAAGGACTTTGAAGTCAGAAGTCTTGTAGGTTGTGGCCACTTTGCTGAAGTGCAGGTGGTAAGAGAGAGAGCAACTGGGGACATCTATGCCATGAAAATCATGAAGAAGAAGGCCTTGTTGGCCCAGGAGCAGGTAAGAGCATTTTAACATTGGCCCTTCCCCTGTCTATGCCAGAATGTTCATTGCAAAGACTATAATCTGTTGAGCTGTCACCTAGGATCAGCAAGTTTTCCTCTGACTCCATAGTTAATTATGGTTGCATGGGCACAAAGCTCTCTTGTGTTCTTAGCTCTTCTCTGATGTTAGTTCATTTTGAAGGCTCACAAATTTCCATTGATTTCTGTATCATGATTCTATACTTTTTTATTTTCAGAACCAAATTGGTCTTTTAACTCATGATTAAGATCTTTTATGACTGTCAGCTGGGGATCCAGGGATGTGCATATTATAGGGGAAATCAGATAGCATTTGCTTTTATATGTGCTTTAGATATTTGTGTTGTGGACATGTATATTTGACTTTAAAATAGGCCTTTGAAGAAGTTAAATAAAATTGTTATGTAGCTAGAGAGTTGCTTGTTTGATAACAGGTTAAGAAGTTATTTTTTTGGTGTGGTATTTTTCTTTCTTTTAAGAAAGGCTGCTGTCTCTAGGCATATTGATTCATCTGCTGTGTTTTAGAGAGACTACCATCAGCCTTGGAGTTCAGAGAGTAATTTATTAGTTACAGGCATTCTGGTGCACATCATGTGTCCGATAATGTACCCAGCTCCACAGGAAGCCTACAGAAAGAATTGAAGTTCCATGGCTATTACTTTCAGGGTTTAATAACAGCCTTGGAAAGTGGAGAAAAAAATGCAAGCATTGAAAGCAGGTGCTTACCAGCTAAAGCATCACAGAGGGGGAGAGCAATTAGTAAATTCATTAATGATGATGTGAGGAGAGATGTCCTGTAGCCCAAGACAGTTAGGGAAAGTCCTCACTGATGAAAAGGAAGGTATATTCTGGGCAGAGAGAAGTGATGAGAGCATGTGAGGTAGAAGTGTGGCCATCAGTGACATGGTCTGGGTACCGGAATGCTCTGTAGGGGTGTGTGTGTGTGTGTGTGTGTGTGTGTGTGTGTGTGTGTGTGTTTAGTGATTTAGAACAGATATACAGAGAAATGGTTGGGTAGAGGACAATTGGGAAATCTCAGGAATCTTATTTTTTTTCATTGTGTTATAAGCATAACAAAATCTCCTTGCATATCCCCATTTTTGTGTAAGATTCAGTGATTTTAAGAGCATTCACAATGTCATACAACCAAAACCACCATCCATTTCTGGAACTTTTTCATCATCCCAATCAGAAACTTTGTACCCATTACACAATACCTCCCCATCTCCCCCAAGAACTGTTGTTTTGAATTGTAGTTCACTTCTTGAGGTGCCTGGGATCATTTAGGCTTTTGGAAGGAGGGGTTGGGATCAGAGTCTGGTTCCCAGTGGATTTGAGTGACTGCGTGCGGCCTCTAATCAAAAAAGCAGTGGAGAGTGGAAAGCTGCTTGTCAGAGACCAAGGATGATGTGGCCTCTGTATTTTGGAATAAAATGTGAGCAGCATCATAGGAAGGAAAAATGATGGATGTTGCAAATAGTTTGGAAGACAGGAGTGGAGCTGTTCACCCAGCCTCCCACGTCAGGGTAGGAACCATCCATCATCAGTGCACACTTGGTGAGCATTCACTGTGTTGGGTGTATTTCTAGGTCCTCGGGTAGAGGCCTTAGATGTAGCTCAACCTTGACGTGCTTATGTCTTAGATGGGAAATAGTGCATGTAACAGATGGATTCAGGGGGCTGGGATTGTGGCTCAGCAGTAGAGTGCTCCCCTAGCATGGGCGGGACCTGGGTTCAATCCTCAGCACCACATAAAAATAAAGGCGTTGTGTTAAAAAAAAAGAAAAAGAAACAGAAACAGATTCAGCATTCCACACTGCAGGCAGATCATAGAGATGTTCAGACAGATGTGTCCTTCTCCAGATGAATGACCCGAAATGACCACAGTGAGGTGTGGGCTGAGCTTTTTAAAATCACACACATGCAGGAGTTAATGAAAACCATCCACCCATTTCTTAAGAGGGTGAATGTAAGAGAAAAGTAGGGTCCTTCTTGGAATCCTGGTAAGGGTTTGGGATTTAAGGACATGAGAGAGAGAAGCTAGCACAGGGAGAAACTGAAAGGAAAAGTTGGAGAGGAGGTTAAGGAGAAGTGGTATCCTGCAAGCAAAGCCTGTCACCTGGGAGCCCAGAGTCCTGTGACAACCAGAAGAGGTCCTCAGAGACCATTTACTTTAATGGAAGTTTCAGGGGTCAGAGTGAGTGGCAAGTAAGTAAAAGTGGAGACTGTTGCGTTCTGCCAATCTCCATGAACACCTTTTCTGTGTCAGCAAAAGGAAGGGGTAGCCTCGGGGGCAGCCAGTGACTGGGGCTGGGGGGCTGTTCTCCACATGGCTTGGATGTATCCCTGGGGGTGTGCATGGACAAACTATTTAAAAACATTTAATAGCTTAATGTTAACTAGCACATCAAAGCCTGTACTTTCACAGTTGGAACTAAATAGGAGGTTTATTTATTTGTTTGTTTTTATAGAGCATTATAATCATACATAGTAGTTATATATATTTTGATGAACTCATACATGTAAGGATTTCAGTTCCCATTCCTACTCTCCTCCCTCCTCATTCTCCTTCCTCTCTCCTGATGTTCCTTTCACTAGTGTTTGTTTATTTTTGATTGCTACTCTCTACATATACATAAAGAAATTTCCTGTGGTACATTTCTATATGCATATAACATGATTTTGTTAAATTCATTCAGTATTTCCTACCCTTTTCCATCTGGGAGGTATATTTAAAAATCACATTTATTTACATTTTGAAGCAATCACAAATTTATAGAAAAGTTGCAAGTGCAATGTATCAGTCGGGCTCTCAAGAGAAATGGAACCAGTATACATGTGTGTATATAACCATCACATACAGTATGGATATATTTTTAAAATACTTTTAAAGTTGTAGATTGACAAATACCTTTATTTTATTTATTTATTTGTGTGTGGTGCTGAGGATTGAACCCAGTGCCTCACACGTTCTAGGCGAGTGATCTACCACTGAGCCACAATCCCAGCCCCACATACAGTATGTTTTTTCCTGAAATATTTGATGTTTATAGTTTGCTCTCTGTATTGGTGGGTTCTGCTTCTGTGGATTCAGTGAACTGAAAACTGAGAAAAATATTTAGGGGGAAAATAATTGCATGTGTACTGAATATGTATTGGCTTTTTCTTTTTGTCATTATTCCCTAAAAAAATATAGTATAACTATTTGCATAGCACTTATAATGAAGTATTATAAGTAGCCTAGAAGAGATTTTAAGTATATGGGAAGAAGTGTGTGGGTTCTATGTAAGTACTGTATCAGGGACTTGAGCATCTGTAGATTTTGGTATTTGCAGGGGTCCTGGAACTAGTCTCCCATGGATACCAAGTGATGATTGTATTTGTGTGTGCAAACACACACATACATACATACATGCACACATGTATACACACAATATATATGCACTAAAATTTACATACACACAAGGATCATATAGCATATACACATAAAATGCATGTGTATATACATTTCTGTAGAATTTATTTCAAGTGGTTGATTTTTATATAATGTGGAAACTGGAAATCTAAAGTTTGTAGGGCGGGAGAGTAGGTGGAAATTCTTGAGTAGGAGCTGATGATGCAGTCCTGAGGCAGAACTTCTTCCTCAGGGAAACTGCAATTTTGTTCTTAAGGCCTTTCAACTGATTGGATGAGGCCCACCCAGGTTACTGAGGAACATTTCCTTAAAGGCAACTGATTGTAGATGATAACTGCATCTATGAAACACCTTCACAGCAACACCTGGGTTAGTGTTTGACTGAATAACTGAGTGCTGTGAACTAGCCAGGTCAATAGGAAGAATTAGCCGTTGGAAAGTACAATGTTTCCCGTGCTGAACCCTTTAAAAGTAAGTTGTCAACCTGACCTGTACTTCTAAACTAAAGTACTTCTGAAACTTTAGTGTGTATATCCTTCACCAAGGACATTTTCTCAGGAACTACCACACTACCGTCAAAATCACGAAATGATCTGGGTGCAGTGGCGCACACCTGTAATCCCAGTGGCTGGGGAGGCTGAGACAGGAGGATCGAGAGTTCAAAGCCAGCCTCAGCAATAGCGAGGTACTAAGCAACTCAGTGAGACCCTGTCTCTAAATAAAATACAAAATAGGGCTGGGGATGTGGTTCAGTGGTCGAGTGCCCCTGAGATCAATCCCAGGTACCCCCACTTCCCCAAATATCAGGAAATGAGTAATGAGGCCTTAGTGCCTGCTAGTCTTCAGACTCCCTTCAGGTTTCACCAGCTGTCCCCATTACATCTTTCAGATCAAGGAACCAGTCCAGGGTCACACCTGACATTTACTTGTCCTATCTCTTCAGTCTCTTTCCTTAATTTTTCAGTATCTTTCTTAATTTTTCCTGGCTCTCGTGACCTGTATGATTCTGATGATTACAGGCCAGTTGTTTCGTAGAACTTGGATATGTCTGATATGACTCAGGTTTAGATCCTGGTTATAGATCGTTGGCAGAAATATTGCAGGTGGGAGATGCTGTTCCAATTCACTATTCCGATTCCCAGGGGTTTCCATTTGTCACATTCTGGGTGATGGTCACTTTGATTACTGCATTAATCTGCTTGCCATGCTCTTCTACTGTGGAGTTAAGCTTTCCTCCTTTGTACCCAAATCAGAATTATATGAGGAGGTTCCTTCCAACAATGTAAATATCCTATTCCTCATAAAACTTACGATTTATTCATTTATATTTATGTGGACTTGATTTTTTTTTTTCTATTTCAGTCAATGTGTTACTATTGTAACAATCTGTTACTATCATTATTTATTTTTATATTGAATTGTCTCCAAGTTGTCTCTTTAGGTTGGCTTTTGTGTCCCTCTGACACATCATTCTTGAGTACTTTCTTGTTTTCTGGTACTGCAGGATGTTCTGGGTTTTCACATATGCTTACTTTTCCTGCATCAGTTCTCCAAGGAGCCCTGTTTTGTGGAAATGGTGTTTAGAGGCCAAGATCTGGACACTGGATGTTCTGTTTGCTACTGGGATGACACTGCTCTCAGACTCCTTTCAGGGGACAGTGCTAAGGAATACAAGTATATATGTACAGTATACCTACTTATATAGCGCGCGCGCACACACACACACACACACACATTTACTTCTGTATTTATTTCTATGTAGCTATGTATTGAAAACTATATTCACACTAGTATTTTCTAATTCCAATCCAACTCAAGAGGGTTCATTTTAGTTTTCACCCTTTCCATGTTTATAACTATGTTAGCTTTCTTTTACTATAACAAATACCTGAAAATCAGCTTATTAAAAAAAAAAAAGGATTATTTTGACTCACAGATTATAGGATTCAGTCCATAGCTATTTGGCCCTGTTGCTCTTGGGCCTGTGGTGAGGCAGCAACATGCAGCGGAACTCTTCACTGCATGGTCAGGGTGTGAAAGCACAATGAAGGGCTAGCGTCTCCCAGCATTCCCTTGGAGGGCATGCCTACCTCTTAAAAATCCCCCATAGCACAGTGGGCCGAGAACCAAACCTTTAACACATGAGCCTTTGGGGGTCATTTATCCAAATCATAGCAGTAACCCTTTCTCTGAGATTGTAAATTTAATATTTTTATGTACTTTTTCATCTGCCTGCATCCTCTCTACTATCTTTGTTGTTATTCCCTGTCCTCTTGGTAAGCCCTAATAACTTGTTTGAGATCACCCTTACATGTGGGTGTCCTCCTTCCCTGGCGTTGGCCCCTGATAGCCACACTAGCTGCCTCATGCCTGGTGGCCGCCCTGTGCACTGCCAGCTACTGATGCCCTGCTCTTGGCACTGAGGTTCCCCAGTGCTTCCCTTGCACTCCACCGCTGGCTTTCAGACCGAACTGTTCAAGAAGGGACGGTGAAGAGGGGCAGAGATATTTATTTATTTTTATTCTTTTTTAGTTCTACATGACAGTAGAGTGTATTTTGACATTTCAGACATACGTGGAATGTAACTTCCCATTTTTGTGGTTGTACATGATGTTGAGTTACACTGGTTGTGTATTCCTATATGAACATAGGAATGTGAGGGACAGAGATATTTAGATTCCATGGAAGTAGGTTGACTTTAAAGAAAGATGCTAAGTAAATAATTGGACAGTTATTATGTGGATCTGGCAAACATTGTGAACCAAGTAGGTGAATAACAGATTTGTGGAATGCCAGGCTACGGGATGGCTTTTTTTCTTTGGAAACGTGAGTTTAGGGGGCTGGGGATGTAGCTCAGTTGGCAGAGTGCTTGCCTCACATGCACAAGGCCCTGGGTTCAATTCTTAGCACCACCAAAAAAAAAAAAAGAACTGCGAGTTTAGGCTTCAAGACAGAGCAAAGGTCACTCCCCTACCCCCAATTCGGTTCTTTGTATTATAATTATCTAAAGGGTTTCTTTTTTCCCTAGGTTTCATTTTTTGAGGAAGAACGGAACATATTATCTCGGAGCACAAGCCCTTGGATCCCCCAATTACAGTATGCCTTCCAGGATAAAAATAACCTTTACCTGGTGAGTCTTTACATCCATCTCTCTGGAATGAGCCGAGCTCCTGACAGGCAGGTGCCACAGTTGCAGAGTTGAATGTGGTTCTTGCCCCTGACGTCCGTGGCACCTCTCATTCATTCAGTCACTTTTCTGACTCCCAGGCGTCTCCCTGTTCTCCTTGTTCTAAGATGAAAAGCCAGCCCATTTAGAAACACCTGGTGACTCCTGAGTCCTGCAGCTCTGGTTTACAGGGCAATAACAAGAAATGGCTTATTTGGGAATCATCTGTAACTGCTTTTAATAGAATCTTGCTTTGATTTAATTTGTTAGGAGAAAATGCAGCCTGTTCTCACTCATGGAGAAGCTAGAAGAGTTGATCTACTACAAGCGGAGAGTAGAATGGTGGTTTCCAGGGGCTTGGAAGGGTGGGGAGGGCAATGATAGAGGAAGGCTGGTTAATGTGTTCAAAAATACCAACACCAAGGAGGCTTGGGTGTTGGTGTCCTTTAGCACGGTAGGGTGACTATAGCTAACAATTTATTATACATTTCAAAATAACTAGGAGAGGAGATTTTGAATGTTCCCAACGTAAACATGATAAATATTTGAGGCAATGGGTATTTTAATTATTCTGGTTTGATGATTGCACATTGTATACCTGTTTTGGAATCTCACACGGTACCCAACGAATGTGTAAAATTATTATGTGTCAGTTAAAAAAAAGAGAGAACCTACACGCTGAGACATGTATGAAGTAGGAGAGATAGGCCTCTATTTTTTTTCCCCCCAAATCCCCCTCTAGGGAGACAAGTGTTAGCGTTGGTGATGTTCTTTTTGACCCTTAACTATGGCCTGGGGGGCTGGGGGGATTGAATCTGCTCATATAAAAGTGGTATGTTACTCTCCATCTGACTCTTCAGCTTGCTTTTTTTTTCTTTCCTTCTTTTCCTTTTAACACTTTATCCCAGACACCCTTGCATGTCAGTACATAGAGGTATGCTTCATTCTTTCTTTATTTTTGGTGCTGGAGGTTGAACCCAGGGACTTCACTGAGCTGGCCCCTGCTTCTTTCTTCAGGGTGGCGGCATAGTTTTCCCTGGTACGCAGGGAGTCTGATTTAGGGCCTTGTTTAGGTTCTTGGGGGATGACATTCATAAGTTTAAAACATGTATCCTAGGGCTGGGGTTGTGGCTCAGTAGTAGCGTGCTCTTCTAGCATGTGCAAGGCCCTGGGTTCCATCCTCAGCACCACATAAAAATAAATAAATAAAATAAAGATATTGTGTCCAAAACAATTTTTGTTCCTGACTCAGCCTGTAAAACAAGGCTAAGGTGGGTGTGGGGGCACCTGCCTGTAATCCCAGTGATTGTGAGACTGAGGCAGGAGGATTGCAGATTTGAGGTCAGCCTCAGCAACTTAGTGAGACCCTGTCTGAGAATAAAAAAAGAAATAAAATAAAAAGAAGGGCTGGGTATGTATCTCAGTGGAAGAGCACTTCCGTGTTCAATCTTCAGTATCAAAAACAAAACAAAATTTATCATATTACCTTGGATGGAGATAAACTTTAATAGAAGCTCACGTAACAAAAAGTGAAGAGAGATGAACGGTCATCTGTCTTGGACTCTTGCTGGGCACTTTGTCTGTGATCTGCCTTGGTTTCGAACTAGTTGAGAACCCAGAGCCTGTGGAGAAGCCCCTGGCTTCACCCAGCCTTCTGAGTGAGTGTGTTGTCACATGAGGCCTTGGGAGCCTGGCCGTGCACTGGCGTGTCCCTTTCCATGGACACTTTCTTTCCTTGGGACTTGGAGTGTGGAGCCCTCACCTCCTCTGATGACCTTGGTGTATTTCTGGGGTCACCTCTGTTCCAGGCCACTTGCTGTCCAGGGGACACTTGCCTTGTGCTCTCCGTGTCTCGTGGAGCCTGTCCTGTTTGGATGGTCAGGCTTCTTCGTTTGCTTTCTGGATATAGCAGCACTTCTGCTTGTTTTGTTTGCTTCTTGGGTGTGTGTTCGTGTTGTTTTGGGTATTTTACTGAGAGCTCTTTAAGAGGTTAGGACACCAGCTTGTGGGGTTAAGCCTCATTTTCAAGGCAACATAGAGCATAGGCAGCCCTGGGGTCAGGAAGGACTGAGATTTTTTTTTTTTTTTTTTTTTTTTTTTTTGCAAATATTGAGAGTTCACAGTTTTCCTGTTTGCCCTTCACTGTTCTGTAAACTCATTTTTCTCTTCCTTTGGATTAAAGAGCTCACTTTGATGCCTTGTCTCATGAAGCTGCTGCTTTTTACAGTTCAACATTGTTTCGGATTCTCATGCTATGAAGGTCAGTTTTGGTACAGGTGATGGCCAATTTTGAGTTTCTGTGTAATGGAACTCAGTGGAAGATTTAGTGGTCTAGTCACATGTGGTAAGCCACTGCTCAGTGGCTTGATGGGCACCTGCTTGCCTTCCTGGAGGTCAATGACGAAGATCAGAGGAGTCTTGTGGGGAACCCCAGCTGTGCTTTTCCTCCCTGCTGACTCTAGTGCTTTGTCATGGTACAGTGGTTTTCAGGTGACATCTTCAGAGGGTGGTATCTGGGCATTTTGAGAATTTCCTGCTTTGGTGTTATCATTCTTATTACCACAGCCTGGCTTTGTTATAGTGGAAGGAACCGTGCCTTTCTTTTTAGTTCTTAGTTGTGGATTTAGCTCCTGGGAACTTCTGCTTGGATAAAGCCCTCCTGTCATACCTCTCAGAATGGTGATGGCTGCTGGTTCCTCCTCTAGGACAGGGTCCCAGCTGCGGGGTTTTTTCTTATTTAGTCACTCTGGCTGTGGGCCATCCCTCTTGATCTTACCCCTGGCATTGACATCTTCAGTTTCTTTTCAGATTTTCCATCTGCCGTCTTGCAAGATGGGAAACATCTTAAAAACAGCTATTTTCTTAAGTGCTGTTTGCCTCAGTCCATTGATACTTGGATTCAAGAACATTTTTATACCCTTCTTTAGTAGCTCAATTGAGTATTACCAATGGGATCTTGCAATTATTTCCTTGTCTGTATTTTCTTCTCAAGTGATTTGGTATTTTGGAGTAAAATGCTTTATAGAGGTATGATTTTCATATAGAAACTCAAACAGCATGGGAATGATGATGTGTTGATAGTTCTACTATCCCTTATCTGTAATTCCTAAATGCCCAGAGCTCTGAATAACCTCAAGTTCTTTTTTTCACTTGTTTGGCAGCAGAACTGACTTGAATTAAGTTTGCAGCAGAGTCTGACCTGAACTCTTCAGGCCACTTGTCTCTTTATTTATTCCCTTTAGTGTGACTATTCTCGCATTTTGCCACAAAATTATGAATGCATTTGATTATGAGGTGCTGGTCCAGCCCCCTGGTCCAGTGGTATGTAATATAAAGTGTATGCTTCACTTGGCCTTTCCAAAATCTGAAACATTCTGAGTCTCCAAACACATTCTGCTGCAAACTAAGGGAATCCTGGATTTGTATTGGCACTATAAAGAACTGAAATTCCATCATGCTTATTGACCACTTATAGATCTTTGGAGCTTGGTGAAACTTAGATATTGTGGTAAGCTCCCCTGACAGTTGAATGCCAATTTGTAATGCTAATATAGTTTAATTAAAGGATACATTTTAAATCAATGAAAAACAAATAAAATTCTACCTACTGTGCATCTTGGCCATCCCTGCTTTCCAGTCCTACCTCTCCTGAGTGAGACCCCTCTGTTTTCTTTGGCCTGCATTACTGTCGTAACCTCCCGAGTGTTCTCCCTGCCATCTGTCTTGCCCCACCCTCCAGGTTGCCCACATATTGCGGCCGAGTCATCTTGCTGTTAGAATTCTTCAAGACGCCCCACTGTCACCTGGAAGAAGTCCAGACTCTTCTGCGTGGTTCACATGCCTCCGAGTGCACTCATCCAGCACCATTTCTCTCCTTTTGTTTTATATGCATCCTGAACTTTCTTTGGATCTTTGACCTTGCTTCTGACTCTTCTGCATGCTCTTCATTCTTTCTCTATTTACCTGACTAACTCCGGGTTTTCTTTCTGGGCTTGGATCAGATGTTGCTTCTAGAAAACTTCTTGGACCCTCTGCTTCTGGGATGAATGCCCACTGCTCTATGCCCATAGCACCCTCTACTTCCCCTACATGAGTGACAGCTGGGCTCTTCCACTAGGCTACTTTCTCCATGAGGGGAGCAATTATCTCTCTCTTGTTCCCAATAGAGCTTTGCCAAATGAATGCCTAAGAAATATTTATTAGATGAATGTATGATTAATTTCATAGAAATCTGATTTACATACAAATTTACTTATTGTGTTACAAAATCATATTATGTTAGCAGTGGGAGTTTTGCTCTCTAAAGTACGTAATTCAAGATAGACCCAATAAGATTTTCAAAAATTGGAATGCAATGCAGGGAAATTGAACTTGGTTTCTTTCGAATTTTGAGGCTTAAAAATTTCCATTTGCAGTGACATACCAATGAATGAGGCTTACCATTTTCTGGTGCATAGAAAATGGTCGCGAATTCCCTTTTACTGTCTGGTTCTATATAACAGGCTAGTTTGGTGTTCTGGCAGGCTGCCCGTGGAAGCAGTGCTTTGTTGATCTGGTTCATGGAGAAATCTGTTCAGTTCTGTGCAACAGATGCCTTCATCAGTGTCCTTCAGTGAAGGAGCTGATCTTAACAAAGAAAACATTGTTTTACAACCTGCCACTTTCAGTATTGTTGTATCTAAATTTTTTTGTGAGATTTTTTTTGGGGTTGATATTTTTCATATTTAGGGGCTCTTCAGACTGCCCTTGCTCTCAGCCTATAATTGACCCATGAACTTTCTTTCCCTCCTGTAACCTTCCATTGTCTTCTCTCTGTTCATTCCAAATGTTTGTCCCCAGTTGGACTGAGAGGTGTTAGTTATGGTATAAGCTCAGCTGCTATAACAAAGAGTCTCCAGTATCCATTCTAGGCTAATGGAACAGCTCTGTTGTATTTGATAATCCAGGGACCCAGGTTCCTTCCA